GTGACAACGCAATTGCATTTTGATCCTCATTTGAAGATTTTTCCATCCTTCCTCTAAAGTATATTCAGTTTTTTTTTAATACATTAAATTCAGTACACCTCCGTAACGTGTGCAGAAATGATCCAACCTACAAACTGGCCAAAATAACGATCCAGAGGCTCTTTTTTCTTATCTGTATTAATGTTCCCTCGGTTTTAGAGCCTTGTGAATTATTTAGAGACGATGGCAGGAGACTCGACGGTATGAGATTGGTCCTTTGGGAGAGAGGTAAAGCCCTAGGGTGAGATGCTATTTGTGTAGACTTTAGCAGCCTCTCATCTCAGAGATACCTCGTTTAGAGCCGGGTGGCAACGTCAGAGACAGCTGATGTATGAATAGAATAGAATGACCATGGAGTCCACGTGCGGTGAAGTTCCTAAAGGAATTGTATCAGAGACGTCGTCGCTGCTGGTGATAAGAGGGCTGGTTCTTTTGTCGCTCAAAGGCCAGTCATACAGCCATTCAGTGAGGAAACGCAGCCAGCGTTCTTGGCACGATACCACCGGGAGTAAGACTGTATTAAAGTTTTTTTGTCATAGCTTTTTAATATTATATATATATATATATATATATATATATATATATATATATATATATATATATATATATATATACCACATGTAACATAATTAACGCACTTTGAGAAAGTAGTTTGTTCAGAATCGTTTACTGAACTCCTATCATTTTTAATATAGGTAATTTTTTACCCCAAAAATAATTAAAACCACTTAAATTACAGTAACACTAAATCTGTACAGTCAAAACAAACTGAAATGGACCGTAACTTAAGGCAATAAGACTTTTAAGAGTGCAGTTTTATTTGTATTATTACTAATTCTGTCATTCAATAAAAATAAAGGAAAATGAACTTTATTTCAAGCACGTTAAAGTCTTTGCGTTTGTGGATTTGTACTGTGACCACAACATTCTTCCGGAATTAGAATAACTAATTTGATAAATAATCAGTTAATAAAAATGTTTAACTAAAAATTCAGTGTATGTATAATGATTATAACATAATATACTAATTGGGGTGTCTATAGTGTGCGTTGATATACGTATACATATGTATATAATATATATCAATGTTATGTAAATAAATGTATCTAGAGTTGTTTTTTTCAGTTTATGACCAAGTAGGAAAGAATTTTGAAAAATAACAAGTAATCCCGAAATCTACATTAAATTTTCTTTAAAATGTAACATAAGGCTTCTGCCACAAGAAAATGCATTTTCTTCAAATTTGAATAACCATGTGTTTGTGAGTCCCATAATTTCTGCACAGTACGGTCCAATTGACAAAGATAATGCTTATCATAAAATTAGAAAAAATATTTATACTCAAATTGAGAATCTCTTCCTTTTTTTAAAGTCGGCTAAAAAGAATAGTGTAAATAAGGTATAATCTTGAGATTATACCTTATAATCTTTACTTACATGTATACCGTGTACTGATTGTAAATAACATAGAATAATGTAAATAAGTTTTCGTAAAACTATAAAACATTACCTATTTAATTGCAAGCTGAGGATCGGCAGTACGTCAACAACCGTACTTCTGAATACCATCTACTCAAGGAAAGATCTGCCACTCTAACTTTATAATTATTTTACTTTTTAATTAAACTTTTAACTTTGGTGATCTTTTCCTTTTGACGTGCTCATCAACAACTACAACTCTACTTCTAAAAAGTGTGTGGCATTACAAACCATACAATACGATCCTTAATAAATTCCTACGTTGGCGAATATGCAACATTTAAAAAAAAAAATAGAAAATGTGAGTAATATTGTGACTTGGTGATGTGTTACGAAGACTTAATGCAGGTTATACACGAAATACACATCCGACGGCCCACTCATCATCGATGGCCAACAAGTTACCATGTATTAAGACTACAAATATCTCGACGCCATGTTGCTCAGTTTAAGGGGAGTAAACAGAAACATTCAGCATTGTATTGCAGCTGCCTGGCTAAAATGGGAGCTAACTAGCGTAACCTAGACCCAAAAATATCCGTTAAAGTCCAAGGGAAGAACAACTCGCTAAAGTCTTGGAAGAAAACAAGCAGCAATGGTATGGAAACTTAAAGCGAGCCCTCGGAACTATATTGGAAACAAAGCATTAACATATGTATATGGGTCTTAAAGACGTGGAAGACCGAAAAAGAGATGAACGGACGTAGTTCACAAAGATCTCAGTGCCTACAAATCAACTCAAGATCATGCGTTAGACAGAGCAAAGTGAAAGATAAGACAAGAAAGTCAAACTCCATCAACATGTAAAAATAATAACTGCGAAGAAGAGAGATATTGAGTCATTATAAGGAGGAAGCTCGTGCCGATCTCACTGTTTTAGTTTCTTTCTGTCGCCTCTTACAACTTGGTTGGGATTTTCCGCATCGCCAACACGCAGGACGGGTACAACCTGATATCAAGGTATTCCATCACTCCCTTTTACTGACATACTTGACATACGAACAGTGCAAAATTTAAAAAAAACATCGATAGTGGAGATATTTGGAACTTCTCACAATTCGCATAATCATGCGTCGTCACGGGTCAAGGTACTAGATTCTACACAGGTCTACACTGTTCCTATTTACAGTACACAGGCAATGTCAAAAACGTTAAAATATAGTGGTGAAAACTAAAAACAACGAATTTTGCTATTGTGATAATATGTTCAGGCTGTTTGATATTTTCAAGATAAAGATATCGCTCTCTTTATCTTGTGTATTATGTACTGATAAATCGTTTACACCAGTAAAAACGCTCAGTTGTCGCTAACACATTTGTTGTGGCAAAGCAATTTAGTAAACGATTGCAAATGAACATAAAAAGTTACGAACTTCTCCAAGATATCTAATTACGACTACACAATAACAAAATTAGTATTGGTAATTTCCTGGACGTCACGTCTATAATTCCCAAGAGGAAAAGCAGAGTCACTAGTAGGACAAAGTTTAGCCTAAAAATTGTCGTAGTGGAAAATTGTGGAATAAAATTTTTGTGATAAATACCAGACCAAAATGAAACACATATGCATTTCATACAAAACACGGGAGCCATTCCTGAAGTGTTTCGGAGAGCAAGCACGGTGTTCGAAACAAAACTCGAAGAACCAAAAGACATCTCGAACCCACAGCTCTTGCCTACGGTTTGTTTCATACAGCCACCAGCCGTATACGAACGGAAAGTTCTAGAGAATTCTGGCGATACCATACTAGAATATTAATGGAAAGATACGAATATGCGCTCTAGGTCGAAGGTATTCCAAATCTGAATTATTGGCACTGTAACCTAATCAGGGAAACCGTGGATTTCAGCCTGCCTAATTGTTTAAGGGCCTGCGCTCACAGACGGTACGACGGTCGAAGGATCCTGTGGCATTCCGCGGCATACCAAAGAAGTAAACGCGCTCTCTGTACCGGGCGCTCACGCGAGACGCTGAGATTGCTGCCGCAACGGGCTACATTCTTCCAATTACTTAGCACTCACATTGTTTTAACAACAAAGTAACCTACGTGTTTTATGGAATACCGTGCGTACCATAACATGCCGCGGTGTCGTACGTTTCGGTCTATTCGTATTGAAACAAAGGAATTTCAGAGCTAAGATCCTTAAAACAACGTCGAAAATTTTTTATACACGAAAAAAATCCTTTGACACAAAATGACGTCTTTTTAAATTATTAAATAATGCCAATAGGATTTCCTGCCTTCAATCCTTTGAATATCCAATCTTGCATTGTAATTGTTTTGCATGCATGCCCTGTGCACAATCCTTTGATTGAGGCTATTGTTCGGACCAATATATATATATAACTTAAATGTCTTTGGTTCGAACTTAGTTTTAGTTAATTATTCAACCTTCTTATAACCATAATGAGACAAAAAAATATAATACAGATTATAGATATTAGGTGTACTGAGGAACGCATAGTAAGAATAATCAGAGAGGCTAAGTAATGTCATTTTATTAACAATTACAGGAGGGAACCAGAAAAAAAACATCTTTTGTAATAAGGCAAACACAGTTTTGCAAATTTATTCCACATATTAAACTGATACAAGATTGATACAAGTCAGATTTCTAACAGTATGGGCATGCTATGTGGTCTGATTACAAAAAAATGTTTAGTACAGCGATAATAAATGTTACAGAAAATCCTGAACTTTACAATACTACTTTTCACACTAATGTATTTTAAATGGAAATATGTAATAAAATAAAGCAAAAAAACTAAAGCAGGAACACAGTCGGGAAATGTTATCGATTACAGGGTGTTTTATTTTAGCCGTAATTGCTAGTCGTAGAGTTCATTTCATTTCATTAAATCATTCTCATGTAACCTAAGTTGTAAGTATGTCAAAAAAACAACAGTCAAACTCCTTATAATATAATAATTACTGCTAAAATACACATCACATCGCAAAATGCGTTCGCAGGAATAAAATATATTGAATAACATGTATTAAAAAAAACAGACAGTCGTCGGGTCCCAGACCCGGCGCGCGGCCGCAAACAGGCAACCGCGGCCGCGCGCCCTCACAAAAAAATAAAGTATATATTAAATATATACGGCTAATACGACAGTGAAAAACATAAGCATAACGGGAAACTTACATTCGAAACATTTCATAACGTCCTACTTTAAGATTTTTACGGAATCGATGCGATTACAAAATTGAAAACGTGAAAATCAAATAAAAAAACACATATATAGAAAAATAAAAGTGGAACGATCCTCGATTACAGGGCTGAGGGATCGGGCGTAAACGTAACCGTGAACCGCGAGCGAGGCTGTGACGGCGAGTGGGTCCCCTGCGCAGCTTGTAGTGTCTCCAGACAGGGGCTCGCGCGAGCGCCCGCGCGGCGGCCGGCGGGGAGCGGCGGGCGACGGGCGGCGCGGGCGGCGTGTTGGGCGGCGGCGCATGCGGCGTGGCGTGCGGCGGCGGCTAGCTGGCTAGCGGCTGCTGCGGCAGCGGCCCGCCGACCTGCAGCGCGCCGCCCCAGCCGCACGCCGCCGCCGCCGCCGCGCCCAAGCGTCGCTTTGTCTCCCCCCCTTGGTTCTGGTGACCCCCGTCGAGTTTACGTTTACCTGCAAAGGTCCAACACTCTCGCATCACTCTCATTACAAACTACACTTATGCGTTAGCTGCAATGACTTTCTACTATAGTTAACGCGCTATGTAATACTATAAAAGTGGACGGGAATGACATATTATCTAAACAAAGTCACGCACCTATGTGACAGTCATGTGACTTAGCATTGAATCGTGTCGGCTGAACCCGCTCGACAGCTAACGTTTAATTGACTAACCGCATTTACTATTAGGCTTTGAAGGCGAATAGTGAATAGACCAACTGCGATTTAGGTGAAATGCTTATCATCACCATCATCATTACAGCCCATTTACAAGTCCACTGCTGAACATAGACCACTCCCAAGGAATGCCATACTCTCAAAGCACGGCTCTGACCCATCTGCCATCCATCGATTACCTGCGTCTCTTACCAGACCAGGCCAGGTAGCTATACTAAATCTATTTTACTAGTTACAACTACCCACTTTATTATACTGTAAATAAGCAATCATAGCCCAATTAATTCAGTATTTCATAAATATACATAACTTTTATCTATCATAGTAAAATTAAATTAAATGAAAACTAGGAAAGAGGAACTAGGAAAATTGCTTGACTGATTATTTAATACTTGTACATATAATAAATAATCAACCTACATCTACAGGATGTTTTTTAAATTGAAGGTTATCTTAGGAAAGTACTTTCATAAACTTTATTTAGTAAATTAAGCGAGCAAAACTTCGAACCTAACCGAATAATCATTTGTATAAACAAGTTTTAGATTTTAATAAAGTTTATGAAAAAATCTGGTAAGGAAGGAATAAAAGGAAAGGGTAGTTACCGATGCACAAAAATTAATCCAGACTAGACGCAAACCATCAAACAAGCTGAAATAAAAGGAAAAGCATGAGAACACGTTGTCTTTAACCTATATGAGTTCTTACGGAGTTTTTAGAGTACTCGAAAATATTAATTAAAAATTCCTGAGTCCAACACTGCTATAAATAAAATGATACTAATAATCAAGTCCCATTAGGGCAATGTTATGATTTACATCTAAAAATTAAATGCATATTTACATATTTTTTTAACTCTTGAGCGAATCTAATGTTACATCAGTCATAGACCAACAATGCAATTTATAAATAGTACAAATTTTATATTAAGCTAACGTAATTCTAGCAATAATATTTTATTGTTAATTGCAATTCTTAGTGTTGATTAACCTAATAAGAGATGGAAACATGAGGAAATCTGATATAAAAATATTTCAAGAACATTATATTAAGTTCGCCCTCACTTATTAAGAACTTCTCCAAAACCTGGTGGAATACATACATGTAAGAGGGATGTAACAAAAGAATTAATATGCTACTACTTCACGTTGGCATTGTGCGAGCGTGGTCGGTCCCCGGTCGAGCCGGGCCATCCTTGCTGCAGCCATAGTATAATGTAACGTAGCTATTCTTTTTTTTATTAGTAAGTAATGATCCACAGCTGGACGTGTGTCTTTCCTTGTGTAGGGGGAACTTGCCTCAATCGCAGACGTCCCGCACCTTTGGTACTTACTGTTGCCCGTCTCTACTCTGGGTATCAGAAGGCATAAAATATTTCAGCCGTATTTCTATAGAGTTAGGGTGACAAATGAGCTGTGCATGGAGCATGGAGTGTGTGTCCATCTGATGATAAGTGGATGCTGTATACTCCTACATCTATTTTTTTGCATTGTCATCCCTGTAAAGATTAGGACCCAAATGGAATGGTGCGTTCCTAGAAAACAGAATCTCCGGTTCTCTACACTCACCATACTAAACACAGCAGCATTAAGCTGGTATTGTGAGATCGCGTCCACTCAGCACTGACCTGGTAAACTTGGCTTGGCGCGCGGGTTGCCACGGATGGCGCTGGGCGTGCGGCGGCCACGAGCGGCGCGTCGCGCACCACCACGGGCCCCAGCCGCGCCCGCCGCCGCGCGCCGCCCCCATCGCGCGCCCGTCCCACATGACCCCCCCTGCATCACGCACCTCGCGTCAGTACTCGTACGCACCACTACCTCACCCACCTCACTCCACACCGCCACAGCGCACAATCGACCGACCGTTTAGATACCACTAGACGTAACTCGACAGAGCTTTAAGTAACCACTCGACGTACATCGAACGAGCGTTAAGGCACCACTCGATACACATCGAATGAACGTTAAAACGAAAAGACAGATTTTAAGGCCCGACGCCGTAAAACGTCGCAGTTCCGTCACAGCCGTCAGTCACGCATTTTATTATTTTATTACAGTAACAACCGAGTTAACTGGCAAATATAAATATTACACCTGAAACCAATTTTTATCCAAGAAAGCTATTCAAGTATTGTCGCAACTATAATGGAGTGCATCATGGCCGCTAGCAATACCACTTCTATATTATACAACCGTAACATAGAAATGGATCAGAGCTCCATTAAGTAAGTACTTTTAAAAATATGCGATCATCAAAATGAAAATTTGATACAGATATTTGAAATATTTGTGGCCATGTAGTATTTTTATAGATTAGGTATGACCTTCGTTTAAATATAAACGTAATATACTAACGTCGTACCTCCCGTCAACAGTCAATCAGTCAGTCTTTATTTCAACATTCCCGTATTATAGAAAATTAGCGTGCACCACGTAACAATTTTTTAAAGAAATAAGATCACTAAACGAGCACAGTCTACCTGATGGTAAGTCAATACTGTGGCCCATAGACATCTACCTACATCTATCATTGATCCAGAATCTAAATAAATGGTCGCGTCGTCACCTCTGAGTACTAAGATGGAATGCCTCGTTACCAGTAAAAAGGGCTTCTCGTAGACGTGACAAAGTTTGTAGTCGATCTGATTGTAGGTGTTGATGTTATAACAGATATAGAACCCTCAGGCAACACTAAAGGTGCTACGGGAGCATTGTTACTCCCGAAGACCAAAATTGCAAGCCTCAATTTATATACAGCGTGTTAGTGTAAACACCGTTATCCTTGAAACCAGTGGTTTGGTATCACTTATAGAACGTAAATTCAATGAATTTAAAAAAAAACGCTATTTTGTTTCATAAAATTTAAAAAGTTTCTGTCCGACACCGTCCGTAAATTCATGGATACCCTATGCACCCGAGTGACGTAATCACTGTAAAGATCACCGCCCGTTCTAGCTACCTACACAACACTTAAATAAAAACACAATAGGAACACATAAATTGTGATGTAACTTTTCCTTCATACTTCCATAATTGCATAGGAAAAATTGAGATTTTACGAAAAAAAATTTTTCATTGAATTTACGTTCTATAAGTGAGACCAAACCACTGGTTTCAAGGATAACAGTGTTTACATTAACATCCTGTATACGCTAAGCCGAAATACAACAAAAACTCTCTTACTTACAAGTTGCTCTTACGTACAAAAAAAGAGTCGTGTCAATACGTCAGTTATTTGTAGTCAATATCGGGGACGGACCTTAAAGTTCTTCAATGTTTACGGATAGCCCCCTTATGCTATTCGTGAATATGAACGACCAACATTATTATCAACTGTATTGAATATAACCCAAAAAGTGCTAATGTTCAAGCGGTCAATTTCAAGACAAACGCTCAGCCTATTTTAAGAGTGTGCTTTCCTATATGCCCTTATTTTTTCTCATTTACCTTCAATGAATAAAAAGACCCACGCCACATTTTTTTCAATTTAATTTATTTCCAACTGTATTTATTTGAAATATGCACGTGTACTTTATTACTGTTAACAACACAAGTGGTTTCTCAACACCAAATTAGAAAATACAATGTCAAAGCTTGCAATGATTCGTACCAAATATACACAAGACCCATTTTTAATTACGTCGTGTAAAACGTCGTAAGTGGAACCTGCACGTGTAATAGTTTTTTTAAAAAAGTTGACTTTTTTCTATGCTTCTTAACTTTGAGATATTTTTATCAAAAAGGCAAACAATGTAGATTGCTATCGATCAAATGATATAAATATATTATAAACCTAGAGACTAAGGTAATTCTTAAAAAATGCAATAAAATTATCTAGATATCGACTACAAGTCTTAATATCGAGTACCACGATTATATGAAGGGAAAGAAATCATTAAACATTATAGACCTCGAAATTATTACGGAAATACTACTCTTATCATCCTGAATATCTGTGCTTAGAAGAAAATTAAGTATTTACTTGATTTTGAAAATAGTTCTGTATTCATAATTGAAAAAGTAAAATTAAGCTATATTGTCTTTTTAAGTAGACACAAGTGCATATTAAAGTAGATATTTTTATAGAACGTAAAACTTTTTACATGAGTATTCTCACAAACGAAAAATCCTCTTGAACAGAAAATAATTCGGTGTTTATTTCCTAAAAATAAACCACCTAAAGAAAATTTAAGGGCACAGGAACGAAGAGATCGGCAGGTAAGGTAGTGGCGAAAGATGGTGCGAGGCATCACAAATTCATATAAAAAATTAACACTTGCTGGTGTATGCACTTTGAAATAAATAATTTATTTTAAAAAGCAAACTAGGCCTCCAATGACAACTGCAAGGAATAATTTAAGTTATTTGCAATACTTCAAATATTAAGAAATATAAAGTATCAAATAAAAAAAAAACATTGTTTCGAAATATGAAATAAATATATTGATTACGATATATCAAAATAGCACATTCTTGTTTAAAAATAAGCAATGGCTAAGAAATATCGTGCTGATTATTTAATCGTAACAAAAAAGGCACAATGCGATGGGAATAATATAAAACAAATATTTAAAATGAGCAATCCCTATCGCAAAGTGAACGAGTTATGTTTATTCACTTTAAAAAAATATTTTTAGCAAAATGAACATCAATTCCTGAATTAGGTATTAAAGGATAGTAACATACACTCTGCAGCAAACATTATCGACGTTTATCGTAAGATCATAACTTTAGATTATAAAATTATTATTTACAAAAGCACATTCTTAAATTACTCAAAAACTACACAAATAAGAATATGCGATCGCAACCTAATTTAAAAGAAAATACAACTTAAAATATCATGCTATAAACAACGCTTTACAATAACGTTTTGATACTGTAAAATATACCCAAACATTCACCAATACTTCGTCTATAATCAAATAGGTTATATAATATAGAACCAATCAGGTACCTAGATACACAGCAGAGATAGCTAGATATACAGCTACTGTAAAGCTGCGAAATAGAAACGGTAAACAAACTACGACAACATGTACGTGTACGCGTAGAGGACTAATTCGGAACAGTACATTAATTTTGGAGAGTACATATACCATTAGATATTGAAGTCCGGTACCTGAATGCCTCCGGTTAGATCGTAGTAAAGCGAGTTGGGCCCGAGAGCGAGCTCGTCTTCCTGAGTGAGGCATTTACCAAGTGGATCAGTAAATCTTCTTAACATATTCTCTACCTCGTTACAACAACGACAAATAATGCAATTTATTCGATCGCTCCGAGATTTACATTCCTCGCGATGGGTGCGCATGATTGGCAAAGCTCCAAGCGTGTTACAACGGGTTAGTGAAAGCGGAAGCAAAGCGCTACATGATGGGATGTTGAACGACTAAGCAAAGCAAACGTGAAATGGCAATATAGTGAGAGTAAATGGGTGATGCTGGCACGTTAGTCGGAGTGGCCTCAGCCATGCAGACCTGATGGTGAGATCGCCGACCGGCCACCCCGCGCCCTACCGACTCGCAAATTCGACAGCTAAGAGCGAGCGCGCTGCGCACTTGGGAAGCATGCGAAGCGAAAACCCGCTACGCTCATAGCGATTGCTTCGCACTTAGCGATCGTTTTACTCGTAGCGAAGGCTTTGCACATAGCAAACGCTACAAATGTAGCATTTGTTTCGAACATAGCGAACGCTTCGCAAAGTTTCGCGAGTGCGCAGCGCGCCCCCGCCGCCGCTATCGATCACCACCGTCAGGCCTACACACTACCGTTCTTTACCGAGTCACTGACTCCATTCTAGGATGGGTTTCAACCAAAAAAAAATAGAAAGAAAAGATAAACTAAAAACAGATGAAAAAAATTTGGCAACTCATAATTCGAAAGGTAACAATGATGAGTACAGTGTCTAGTGACTAGTAAAATAATATGATAACATTAGTTAGTGTGTGTGGGACCCACCGGTTGCGCTCTGTTGGGAGGCTGGCGGACGGCGGACGGTTGCGGTGGCCCCGCGTAATCAAAATAGAACTCATCGTACCGGTAAAATGGCTCATTGTAGCCACCTCGGTAATCCCCGTACCCGTAATAGTCGTAATCATAATCTATAAACACACAACACAGGCCTTTTAGAGGCTAAGCTAAACTAACGCTAACTTACAAGCTACCTTATGCTGGTGGTCATTGAGCTTTCGAGGCTCATACCACGTACAAAATAAATACATGCGTATGTCTTCCGTTTGTAATATGGCGCACACGGGGACTCCACCCGCTTCCTTAACTTAGTCACACACCTGCACGGTCTGAAGCGTAGTCACAATATCAGACACACGCAAAACCACATGCATCTTCTTAACCCCTTTAATATAGTGGGACTAAATCGATATTTGGACTTAAATTTTGAATTTGGATTCCTTTGCCAAACGTATGTGTTGTAGTTCCAAATGTTGAATGATCCTCCCACCACCGAAACCTACTCGTAAGCAACGTCTTACACTCGTACTGGTCAGCAACAGACTTCCAACGCTGTGATGAAAATGATTAAAATTCATGAAGCATGCACTGGGTATTCAGTTAGGTTTGTTATTACATTAAAACATTTTGTAGCCCTTGACGTTATCTCAGCTCACATCTCGGAACTCGGCTTGCCTGTTTCTACAGTCTGAAACCATGCAGTGTCCTAAGCCTAGCTTTGTATTATTTTTAGCCTAGAAAATAGCGTTAGTGGTAACATATATATAAAATACCATTACATGTATTATGGCTGCAACGATACACTTACTGGAGTAACCGGGCCACAGACACAAATACAAAAAATTTGATGATAGAAATGATTGAGATACATTCTGTATATTGTATAGTAGCAGCCACTTTGTTAGTAAGGAATCAGTAGCAAAAGTTGCGGATGTGCACGTGTAGACCACACCGAGTACTAAACATTTTTATATTTGTGTGTTTATGTGTATAAGATAATAGTATCTTATTGACAAATGAGGTGAAGCTTTTTAATGCACATAAGGCGATATATCTTTTATAGGCTTCGCCACACTCGTGTGCTACCCAAATAGTGCTTGTTATCAAATTTGGACTCTGGACAGACTTCTTTATTATTTTATAAACCGAGCTATATTTTATTTTCTGCATCTAGACAGCGTAAAATTACAATTTACTTCTCATAATTCTCTAATCATAATGCGGTATGTCACATGTCAAATTCTAGTTTTATTTAATCAAATTTGCTTTATAAAGTGTTTAAATATGCTTGTAACTGTAATTAAATTCGCAGTAACTTTCTTTCAATTTAAATATATCAATTTGATTGCTCGATTAAGATATCAACATTTATAGTCACATTCGCTATAAACAGTTGTTTTTTATGTAAATTCATTTTCTGATATACTATCTACTTTCCCGAGTGACATATTAAATACCAATCTACATCTAGCGGTAATCTACAGTCTGTTTAATATTATTAATAGATTGGCAATTGACTCGATATACATATATAACAGTATGAAACTATGTGTGAACATGCCTACTTAAGCTTATTCTTGGATGTAGCGCAGTTTGGAAAACCCCAACACTACGACAATTAACGTTCAAAATTATAATTGACACGCTAAAAAATGCTACAGTAGATCACTTCCAAAATAAGACATCGACAAATCGATCTATCGTGAACTGGTCCACGTACACCGCCAACACGACAGCGCACGCGTGTGTGGGATTACATATTATTGCAAATTAATGTGTATATTTTAACCATAAAGATGCTAAGAAGGACAAGTGGAAAACATCACAATATTCTTAAGTAAAATCGATCCAGAGTCGATACGTTTATGTGCATGTGTGCTTTTATGTACACGGGTATGAGTGTATATGTGCGTTCACGTGCGTATTGACGTTGCGCACGCTAAGTAATAAAAGACAAACTTCCATAAAAATTTGAGTAGACACATTCACGTGCACGTGTGCATATACGTATACGTGCACGTATGCGTGTACACGCACGTGCACGTGTGCGTATACGTGCACGTGTATATGAAGACACGTTTCGTATATGTGTGTATGTTCGCGTGACACGTAAGGTCTGCATAGAAAGAGAACCGTAGTTACCGATTTGGACAAGTTTTTATTAAGTCATCATCAAGGTTGGTCGGTAGGATATCTTCGAAATATTATGAAATCTAAGTGACAATTGACTGTGCCATCGCGATGGTTCTCTCTCCACCGACTCACGTATGCGTTGTGAATGTGTGCGTGTGCGTATGTGTGCATGTGCGTGCGTGCGTACTGACCGTAGTCGCCGCGCGCGGCGGGCGGCCGCGGCTGTGGCTGCGGCGTGCGGCCACGCAGCGCGCCGTGAACCGGCGAGCAGCTGCACCAATCAAATCTGAATGTTACACAGCGACCAGTTACCTACACGCCGACAGACAAACGCCCCCACGGTGCCCGCATGGGCGTAGCTATTACCTACACCGCTTGCTTTTTACTCTGCGCATACAGATATATGATTATTGTGTATAGAAATATTTTTTTGTCACTCGTAAAAACATTGGGAAAATGAAGTCCCTAAAAAAGTCGTAAGTCCGGCTTTGTAAATTTACGTGCAACGAAGTTTTAATAAATAAATAAATAAAATGAAGACGAGAAATTCTTTATAGAACTAAGTTCAAAACCACTATTTATCACTTGTAATATATATTGCAGCTTTCGGTCTGAAAGAAAACGATAATATACTCGTATCGTTCTGCACAATTCTGTCTTTGTCAAGGACATTTTGGTCACGGTATTTTGAAATTCATACCCATACATATTTTACAACATAGTATAAGCTCTTACGCCTGTTACCCAAAGAGCAGAAACCATGAATTTCTATTCGGCTCGATTATATAAAATTGATGCCTCTCTAGCTTCTTTCACATCCATATATCTTACGCATACATGCTCGTCAACTAAGGATACACTTAACTTGTGTTTCTTACATATTGTGTATATTACAGCTAACTATGATAACTATTATTCATGAAATAATTATACATTTATATAGATGATTTAATTTATATTGCTTAATGGCGCCCAAACTATCGTGGTCTAAAGCCCATGCATGGTCCAAGATGACCCAGCTCTCTAAGTATTTATTAAAAATCGATATTTTACTTAAATTTTTTTTGGAGATTAAGAGAATAGATGTCTAATTGTTTATATATACAAAAAGTAGGTCCAATGAAATGTTAATATCTATAATGAATAAACTAATATATTGATTGACGCTTTGATTAATTAATATATATTATTCTATAAGCAATCGCAATGATACTAAAAGGGAACTTTCTTTGGGCTTATTCTTGAATGTAACTAACATTTTAATATAGAAAAATGTTACATTTTATATTATCTTTTGCCAAAAATATTTTTACGAAATATCTAGAACATTTAAAATATTGCATAAGATTAAATTCAATGAGAAATAATCACCCTACTTACATAAACTACTTAAACTTTTAGCTACGCCCATGTTACAATTTTATCGACCGACAGTTTGTCAAGTGTGTAAAATAAATAAAAAAACGTATTATTCCATAGGTCGGTATCATACCAAACTTCTTGATAACATCATTCACTTAAAATATAAATCGTAAGCATGATAACTGGAATTTCAAAACATTATGCATAAATAAACATACAAACTGTCAGACGATAAACAATGAAACCATTAAAACACAAAATAAAGAAGTAAAAAAAAACTAAAAAATTATTGGTGTAGTGAAAGTACTATTAAATAAAACTATGTAAGTATATTCAAATAAGTATCAAAGAAATAAAAATATAACCACATCACTACCATTACAATTGGCAATTAGGCCAATAACTTCATATTATACAGCAGTGGACTCTAATATGCATATGAAGAACAGGAAAACATTTGTGCCCTTGATCCGGATTGAAATTCCAGCCGTTAACAATAGTTATACGAATTAGAAAGTATTGTTTGTCCCTATCCCGTTGATCAGTGTTTCTACGCTCACTTGTAAAACAAAAAAATTATGTCCTATAATAAATATTAGACTAATATGCTCGAAATTTGAACAACGTTCGTTAACTGGAAAATTTTGCTTAAAATTTTTATAAACCGACTCGTAAATAATTGGTTTCATCCACTACAGTTGCATAAACTACAATTCCATTTTTACTCAGAAACAAACTAAAAAATTACTAATGACTTCTCGTACATCATTTCATACAAAAGGTTACCGGTTTAGTAATATTACAAAAAGTAACAGTTAAAATTTTACATTTCTTAATCGGCAGTTAGAACTTACCCTCCGCGGCCATAGATCATCTGTGTCATACGACGTTCACGCGCGCGCAATATCTCTTCTTTCTTCTTTTTATCGGAGGGAGGTTTTGCAAGAGATACTTCTAACCGCGCACCACCCATTTCCTTACCGTCAAGCTCTTGCATCGCCTAAACAAAAATGGTCATTCAAATCAACGGCATCGTCGCTATTTCGTCTTGTGCGGCGTTGTAAAAAGCGACTACCCTCACAGCTTTCGCCAGACAGCAAGCAGCTAACTAAATTTATTTAACAAAGAAACTTATTCAAAACTACGACAATACTACTAAAGTTTTCTTAATATGTTGGAGAATTAAACAATTACAGACCAGCACAGATAGCTAGGTTAAGAGGAAATAGTATGTGAGCTCAAATTGCCATTTCGCCCCCGCGCCCCGCAACCTCGCGAGATTTCGTTGAGGGGCGCGCGGGGTTTCTTAAAAATTGTGCTTTATTATTTTACTAAACCTTAGGGAACCAAAAGAAAATAAATGAATAAGAAATATTTCACTTAGATACCGCAAGCATTTTTTTCGTCAACACTTTTTTCCTTTGTAAATTTATTTCCCATTATTATTAATCACTAAAATACACGCAAACGTAAGCACACGGGTCAGCAAGCGACACAGGTTTCCCCTCCGACAGCCGAAGCTGGACTAGCTTGGTGTGTGATCGGCGAGAGGAGAAGGGCCGCGGCTCAGGATATGGTGGCTGGACGAGAGTATATTTTAGATATTTCTTGTTTATTTTAAACCAAAGGTTAATTTTGAGAATTTAAAACGTATTTTGCATAGGTATAGTTACGCTATTATTGAAAATCTGGTAACCTCACATGAATAATTAAAAAATTACCAGTGTTTTTTCTGAAAATACGAAGGTAACTATGCAATTTTTTCTATCTAAAAAATTTCAAGAAATCGTGATTCCGAAAAATATTTTGCATTGCGTAAATCCTTAACATTCTTAAGTATGAATCACGAAACGAATGATTAAGGTTGCCCTAGTCGATGGCACGAACTAAGTGGTGGGCGGGGTAAAAATGCATGCTACATGCATGCACGCTGTGATGAGCAGTAAGAAGCTAGTGCGCACATACATACGCACTCGAGTGACGCAATGCGAGACGGCGTCATCGAGTACCTATCTATTCGATTCATTTTTGAATAATAACATAAACTCAAACGGCAATTTGAGCTCCGTATCGCAGTGGCTTAGCAATGAGGCTGCGCTGGGGGCCGCGGGTTCGAATCCCGAACGGAACAAATATTTTGTATGGACTACAAATAGTTGTTCCGGGTCTGGATGTTTGTCCTTGTGCGATTTATGTTTGTAAACTGCCTCCACGATACTGGAGAAAATCCTACTATGGGGGTAACGAATTTTAAAAAGAGAAATGAGAGAGAAAACAAATTGGTGTTATTATAACTTAGGATCTGCTGTGTGAAACGTTATTATTATGAACCCAATTTATGTACTTAGTTGTTATTATGAAAGTTCTTATGTGAACAACTTATCCAGGGATACAATACTTAGATGTTGTTATTATATAATAATTCCATTGATTTGTTTTTACCTACTTTTTAACCGACTTAGAAAAAAGGAGGTGGTTCTCAATTCGTTGGTTTTTGTTTATGTACGTTTTGTCCCCCGTTTTCTCGAAGATGCCTGAAGCCTGAACCGATTTGGAATCCCACGGTAATCGATGGTGGTGAGATCAGGATCTGATGATGGGATCTTGGAGAAATCGGGGGCACTCTTCAATAAATGACAGCAAATCAACCGCGATTGCTGCTATCGCCTATCTATGCTTTCTTTACGCAATCACACAATATAATATCACCCCTGTACCCACTAAAGGGAAATAACTCTCAACTAAAAAAGGTAACATAAAAAACTTTTTTTGAAAAAAATATAACAATCTCTAAAACAAACACAAAAAAGTGCAACATAATTATGTTTTCTTTATGTTTTTGTATTTTTCTGTAGGTTATGCAAATATTACTGTAGGTACTATGTATTCTAAATAGGTATTTACTTTCCATAGTATATATGTACTCCCCGAAGTATATATGTTAGCCAATGTCAGGATAACTGCTTTTTCGACAGCGCGATTATGATGTGAATGGGGCTTTTATATAGGTTAATTAAATAAATAAAAAATGTTAGTTTGTAAATTGTTTATTGATTGTTTGTGTTCAATAGCGGTTTGAAATATTCTCTTAGTACTTAGAAAGTTATCAACAATAGGCATTGTGTCACTGCAGGGACAAGCACAAACGTCCATCAAAATAGTAGCGTATATAAACGGTAAACTAACAGCACAGACTTCCTTACAGAAGTCCAAAGAACACGTCTAGGCAAGGTAAGTAATTAGAAGAAAACTACAATTTAGAGATCGATTGTAAATCAAATTCACAGTACAGACACAATTAGCGAAATATAAATAAAATTTTGAATTATTTTATGATAGTAGATAACGCTAGTTGAAAACTAAACACTGTATGGGAATGACATCACTGAACTAGTCAGGTCGTCAGTCCAAACAAATAAAAGGCGCGATTGTAGAAAGAGATTCGTTATGAAACGTTTGTAGGCTAGGGGGCTTGGCCTGTTTATGCTATTGATAACGAAGGCTATAAAATATTTACAAATTAGAAACTAAATCCTATGTGTACTTATCTGTATTCATAACCCAATATCTGAGGCAGGTTGATGCGCTCCTTAATTTTTATATAGTTCGTATTGTTCTGTAATAGGTATATTAAATCTAAACCAAAATATATACTATAATACCATAGCAAAGCTACTACTATTTTATTTAGTAGTAGCTTATATAGTAGTATAGTAAATTAAGTAGATATAAAAATATGAGTATGTCTAAGGTAAGGTTAAATATAAACAAATATTCGCCAAGTTCGAATCCGGCTTCCGAGCTTCCGTACCATCTTACAAGATTTAAATATACATATTACTATCGATAAAAAAAAGCCAAAAATACACGTTTATTTTTCTAGTAGGAAACCTTTTAATTTCAAATTTATTTTTACTATTTGCTGTTATAGCGGCAACCGACATACACGTTCTGTGAAAATTACAACCATCTACCTATTACGGATCATGAGACACAGCCCGCTGACAGACAGACACACGGACAGCGGAGGCTTCGTAATACTGCTGGTTACCCTTCGGGTACGGAATCCTAAAAAGTACTTAGTTGTTTACTCACATCTGTATGGTTCTTTCTTCAAAGGACCATTAGCCACCTGGCCTGGTTCTGGTATGACATTGTAATACCTGGACTGACCTCTCCGAGTTTGTTTCGGCAGATCAGGTGCTTCTTCTCAGTTTCATGTTTTTGTTGTGTTAAAGTGTTTTTAAAAGAAAAACAATTTACAAAACACATTTTATTTATCATTGACTGCCCTTCTTAGATTATTATGTACTTACATAAATTACACTAGGTATATTAGGATATGAGATTCCTATACGTAAGCACGATTATCGAAAATCTAAAAATTACCTATTCTAATTAAATTAATAGATAATTTTACGATTTTCGATAATCGTGCTTATCTATGAGATGTTTTCGTTAGTTAGCAAATTAAAGTAGTTAAGTACCTAATGTACTACCTGTATCGAAAGTTCATTATTATGTACCTACCTGTTTTCAATTTTAACTAAATGTGCTTCAACAAACTTATGGGCACATTTTAGCAGCTATATTCATCCCGGCTTCAGCAATGGACACGACAAAAGGAAGCAATTTTTCTAAATAAAGATGTAGATATGTAGGTATTACAACCATAAATAGATAGTAGTGGCTAACCTAGTGAGCATGTGTGGGGGCGCGCTGCCCCCCCCCCCCTCCGTCTGTACCACTGATCGGGGAAATAATTTGTAGCGAAAGGCAAGATGTTTTATAACAAAAACGGGCGCGCGAAATTTTATAAACAGACCTTTGGTAGTCTGGATGTCATGAAAAATCTATTGAACGTATCTGTTTAAAATAAAATGATTTGCATTTTTGAACAACTAATCTATCCCTGTATGGTAACTGTTTTGCAATTTTCGTTCTTCTTATGGTATTTATTTCCGCCGAAAGATGTGTTAAAACTAGTGTTGAAATTCGGAATTTTCGACACTTATAACTTTTAAACATACTCTTTTTTTACTTTTTTGTTTCCATACAGGGCTAGATAATGATGAGACAAATTGAAATCATTTTTTATTTTGAACGTACACCATCAAACAGTGGAGTTATCGCCGGACTACGTTTGTATGGAAGAATAAGCGACTAGTGTACCCTTAAGCACTGTAGATACGACCGAGTTTACTAAAGTTACTAAAACAGTTATTTAACTGCTGTTACCTCTTAACGCTAATAGATAACTCCACGCTGAATCCCCACTCAGCTTCGCCAACAGGATATCATCATGTGAGAAATCGTTTTTAGCTTAGCTCACAAATATGACGTTGTCTTTGTAACCTTCTTTGTTTAAGTTGGTTAAGGTACATGGGCAGAAGTGGCTTCTTACTCGCGGCAGAATTAGTTAAGAGGTCGTACAATTCTATACCAAAAAAAACACCGAGAAACGACCCCCGAATAAAAAAGTAACCATTTTTAAGCAGCTATTCAGGGTTTTTAAGACCAGTATCATTGCAACCAGTACGATTTATACTGATTGTTGCTATGGCTTGGTTGGCTATAGTTCACCGCTAATTCTTACACTTATTTAAGAATGTTCTCATTGAAAACTAAGCTTTCGTATTAGTTGTCCACATTCAGTTAGAATTTGCATGTGTTTGGACTCTAATAAAATGGCTGGTTTATTTTTATTAATAAAATACTAGTAGACTTGTCAAAATTAATGAACAAAACTCACATTGTAGTATTTTAAAAATCAGATGTAATAAACATCCCAGTAGTGACAAAAATGGAGGGTTTATTTTTATTAATAAAATACTAGTAGACTTGTCAAAATTAATGAACAAAACTCACATTGTAGTATTTTAAAAATCAGATGTAATAAACATCCCAGTAGTGACAAAAATGGAGGCAGTTTGTAGCGTAATGCCGCACCTACGAACATACCTTAACAGCACAATCCCGGTCCTCAAAATGGACAAAAGCGTAATCCTTGATTTTCTTAACACGTTCCACAGTTCCATAACGTTCAAACTCTTCCTTGAGCGCCTCTTCAGTGATTTCTTGAGTAAGATTCCGTACATATAACACCTTCACCTGATAACCATTTTGTGATTATGTTTTTTTAGACGATACAGTTTAACAAAATAATAATAAAAACATCCAAATTATTAGTGTATTAAATTGTAATCGCAATTTATTAAAATTGTAAGTTATGGAGAGGTTCTATTTGTGGAGTTGTATTTGCGGAGTTAAGGTCAGTTCACACAGAGACGTGACACGACGCGACGCAGCGCGCACTTTTTAAGATTGTGATACATAACAAACTTTATTTAAAAGTTAAAGTTACAGCCTATATACGTCCCACTGCGGGCACAAGCCTCCCCTCATTTCTATAGAAGAAGTTCCGCCCCTACTTCACATGTCTTCGAAATATTTTTTTCTTATTCCTTAGACATGAGTTCCTATTTTCCTACTCAGCACTAAATTGCAATTAACTTTATTTACAATATAAAAAATACACATTTTAATAATTCGAAACAGCGTTGCGCTACACCACGTAGCGAATAGGTGTAGCGCGGTGCATCACGACACAGCGGTGTTTCGTCAGTAGGCGCAGTGTGCAAGAGCAGGCTTCACGATGCGCTTCAAGTCGTCGCAATGCATCTTGCGGCGGCGCTCTACGCGGTGTAAAACTAGTGGCCTTTTCACGCATCGTCGCATCGCGTCGCGTCTCTGTGTGAACTGATCCTTACTCTGCATGATAGACTTCAATATAAGAATATCCGTGGAAGAACCAGAGTAACAGACCCAATGGATCAGAAAGTTGAAGTAAGACATTCAGGAAAATCGTTGATGTCTTAACGTCGGTGGATGCAGTTGATTTGTAGCATTTCTTGGGGAAGGTCTTTGTTCAGCAGTGAACTTGTGATGTAATGTGATGTAATGACGATGATAATGATAACAAATTTATCAATGTTATTTTAACAATATATCCACTAGTAAACCATATGCTAGCGCAGTTTTATAATAAAAGAAAAATGACACGTGCATTTCTCAGACAAAATGTCTTTTTTAAGATGGTGTTTTTGAAATTTTTTATGATTTTTATATTTTCACTTTTATATTTAAAGTGAAATTTTATAAGCGTCGAATTATATACCTAAGTCACCTAAAACCTTTTTAAATTTATCTTAATAAAGAGGAGGGAAAATAAAACAACGTGCATAATATATATGTTGTTTTCAAGTACATAAATGATTTAACTGTAAAAGATTAATAAAACTTACTTTGCTCATTGTCTGCTCATCGGGCTCTTCTTGAGGGTCTGCCCAATCGACTATAATATCACAGCCCCAAACCTAGCAAAAACGATGTGTCAATATTCTGTACAATTAAGACCTGGATACAAAATCATATCAGTACGTATCGCTATCGACTAAAGTTGTATGAAAATATGAATAGTGCATTGACGGACAATTGGAACTATGTTTGTTAAAAAATTATTCGATTGCGATACGAATTGGGTACGATATACAAATGATGTCTAGGGCATACGAACATGTACACATTCATGTAAATCTATCAATGTCCTTAAAATAAAGAGCAAAAAAAAACCGTTCTTCAATCGCTAACTCTCTACAACAACGGAAATGAATATAAATAAGTTTCTCTGATTGCGCGAACATTTAAGCTTAATATATTCCGCACAAACATTACAATTAACTAATAACACTAAAGTCCAAAATAGGCCTAAATAATGTTCACCTGACGGTCATTTAAGCGTAATCAAAATTAAAAGTAAGAAAAACTTAAGATTTAAATAGAAATATACAAAACTGATATTTCTAAATGAAATGATTAAAAAAAATCACATGCATAAAATTTGAATAAAGAAAACAAATGTATAATTTCAATTACCGAATAAATATAACATAAATTACTTTTTGAAATTAGTCTCTTCACTTTATCAGCACAAAGAAGCAAAGTACATGATAAAAAAATGTTTATAAGAATTCATGTTAAAGTGGCTGAAGTAACTAAAAGCAGAACAAAATATTCCTTTGAGTAAACAAGCTAACGTTTGACCACAGTCCCACCTGATATTAAGCGGGGAATTCACTAGACTGATTTGCTTACGGGCGTGTCTGCAGACATGCCTGCCGGACTTCGCTACTATAGTTCAGTGCAAAGTTTGATAGTGTAGGACCGTCGCAGTCGGTCTAGCAGATTTGCTTGTTGAACGTCCGCGCGATCTCATTTTGACACAAGAGAGAGAGCAATCAGTGCAGACGGCCTTTTATTATCATTTAACGAACTTTGGAGATTTTTAATTTGCAATGAGTTATAATAATAATAAAATATTCTAATTGTACAGGTCTTCTGGTTCATCAATTTCTAATTCTTTATGTAAATTGATATGGCGAAACCTATTTCTATTTTATACCATTCTTAGCACCATATTATTAATAAATAAATAATAGAGCATGGCAAATCTTGGTTGTCACCTTATTTTGCACGCTCAACTAATCTATTAGCCGGTCTGAAACAAACTGATGAGTCTGTGCGACGACAGACATGCCCGGACAAACAGCCCGTAGACATGTCCGTCTAGTGAAATCCCGCTTTAGGTGGCGAGAGGTCCAAGATGGTGAAGCAAGTTAGCTTAAGCGAAAGGATGGAAATTGAACGTAAGTGTCCAACGTCCAAACCATCCTACAGTATACAGCTTCAGTCATTTCACTTGAATACGATAAAAGTCGTTTGATTGTCTGTATGACGGTATCGTTGGTCGTGATTCGCGGGCTGGAGTCAGTGGAAATGAATTTCTCGATTATCTAAAAAACATGAATTTATATAATAATACATACCTTTATCCTACCAGTTCCGAGTCTACGCTTAGCTAACGACGCCGCTTTGTGTGATTCATATTCCAAAAAACAAAATCCTCTATTTTTCTTCTTGTCATCGGGCGAACTATATATTATTACGTCTACGAGTCCAGCTGCAATCATACAAAGCTTATATAACGCCGTAAACGGGCAAGCGAGCTCTGATATTATAATATTAACATAAAGCTCCCCTCCCCTCGCTCAAGTTCATTCCTTCAACGCTACGAAAATATGAAGCAAATCAAACGATATTTCAGAACAAATATTGAAGAAGTCTAAGTCTAGAGAACAACAGCAAGATTCTCCAGTCATTACCAGTGAGCATTCTCGAGGCGGAGGCCAATCGGTTAACACTCGTTTTTTTTTTCAAATCTACTTGAGTAAGCGAGGTACGGGCGGGGGGCCGTGTGGCCGTGCACAAAGCTGGCGGGGTGCACGCGGGCCTCGTGGGCCACGTGGAAGACGTTAGCGCGCCTCGCCTGCACTCCCCACGCGGCGCCCCACCTCGTCCGCGTACGAACTGAATAGCACATATTATGAATTCGACAAGGACTTACGTGCGTGCCTAGTAAACTCCTCAAACAAATCGTCCCGATCTCGATTCTTAGGGATATTCCCCACGAATAAACGGTGATTGTTAAAGGAAACCGTAACGCCAATCTTTTTCCCCTTTCGAATTTCATAATCATTCAGCTGCAAGAACAATTCGAGGGAGAATAGCCAATGGGCGGGGCCGGGCGGCGAGCCCGGGCCCGCAGACTGGAGAGGGGAGAGTGGAGGGAGAGGGAGCGGAAGCGGGGAGCGGAGGCGGGACGCCGGGACGCCGGGGACAAGCGGGACGCAAGCGGGGCACCCTCAGCGGTCCACACCAAGCCCCACGCACTCAACCCAAAAATACTAACTCCTTAATTCATTCGATTGACACTTTACCTGTTAATTTACCAAACTCTTCCAGTATCTCCTCTTTGCCTTTAGACTTGGGAATGTTGCCGACGAAAAGTCGCAGATTCGGTACGCTAATCTTAATTCTCAGAGTCTTCCCAGGTTTTATTTCGTGATTATCGAGCTGTGGGAAAAATAACAAGGGAAAAATTTTGAAAAAAAGGAATCAATTTTGGATTCGATCGGTCCGACGGTCGTTCGATCGTTCGTGTCGGAGCACGACGAGTCGTGATGATCTCCGCGCGGGCCTCGTGAGTGATGATCGGTTAGAGCCAATTGTGATGAGTTAACTGTACTTTGAATGATAAGCCAAAAGTGTTGTACTGAGCAAAGAGGAGAGCCTGAGATATATTAAATTCTCAGCAGGAGAACATTTTGAAGCCAATTGAAAGTTAACCCTGTAAGTGGACCGTTTGATGAAGTGAAAATAAAAAAGCGAGTAAAAGTGTAATGGTAACAAAAAAAATTAAAGCAACTCAAAATTTAACGAGGTGCAATAGTAGAGAATGGGATGATATCTCAGGACAAGCGAGGCTAGATCAGTTTATAGGTGTTATGTTTGCACATTTACACAATTTCAGTGATTACATTGGAACGGCGGCCATAGGCATTAAAAATATTTCAAGTTAAAATTATTCTAAGAACATTGTGAAATTACGACGGCAGGCATGAATAATGTAGACACTAAAATGTTACATCTATAGCATGCAAAGTAAAAAAATAACACAACCCTAAATAACTGAATTAATGGCGATAATACTAAGTAGAACAATATTTACTTATATAATTTGTACAAAAACAAAAAACAACATGGCTGACAAAAGATGCAAATGGCCGCCGTCGGTAGGTAATTAATGTCATGCCTTATAAAATGAAAAAAGCTTAAGACTAAATCTCCCAAATGTGACTGTGAATACATCATATTAAACAGGAAAATGATTGGGAACTTGCAATAATACTGGACGCAGATTACATTGCAGTACTTTTGCAAGTGAGGCACATGTTTGGCAACTTCAATGGAAGTTGAAATCATTATTGCATAGAATTTTGAATAAAACATTTCAACTTACAATAACAACTTATAATTACTTTGTTGTGTTAGAAAAAATAATGATTTCATCCTATTACTGGGCAAATGTACAAAGTGAAGTCGCCAAACCAATAGCCAACTATTTGTGTAGTGAAATCAGTTATCGTTCAAGGGATTTATACTTAAGCATTCGGCGAGTCACCTGGAAAGCAGACGTCAAATTAGAATTTTGTTTTCAGATTCATTATGCACCAATTATACAGTGAAATAAAGTCATTTTAATGTTTTTAGATACAAATTTGGTATAACCAATTAAGTCGATAGATAGATTAGACGATCGCATGTATAATAGCGAATGTTATGCTTTAACATTGCGTTTTAATAGAGATGTGCTAGATAACATCCATTTTAGGCAAAGATTTATGGCATCTAGAAAATTAACTGATTTTTACTTTAAAAAAAAGTAATTATAAAAAAAACCATATTAATATTTATGATGTAAATTCATTTCAATCGATATCTAATTTGTACTTTAAAGGTAAGTTACAGTTGAAAGTAGATGACATTAATCCCAAATAATACATTTGCAACAAAATCAACAAAGTATTCAAGAGGGTGGTAATTTCTTTCGTTTGCAGACTTGCCCAAATGTGCTTCCAGTGCGAGCATAACTCAGTGTTAAGAACAAGATATCTTTAAATTCAGATATTTAAAAAAAAAACAAAGGTTGATAATTAGCCACAGTGAACAAGGAGGAACTGATGGACTGATGAAAAACGTTTACCACTCTCCAGACAAGTGAACAACACCCAAACATCCTGTTCCGCGTAATTAAACGCCAAAACTCTATTAGAAAATATAATTCAAACATGTAAAGAAAATTATAAAAAAATTTAAGAAGTGAAACTAATCATTTCGAGCTGTTGTTTGTTACATTACATTCATCATATTTTGTAATTACATATTACCAATATCTGAAGCGTTAATCATCGTGTACCCAATTCAACTCGGCAATAATTTGCTATTACTCAACAGACCGGTAGATACAATTACGCCGATCGCAATATTATATTTTGACGCGAAGTTTGAACACTGGTAGTCGCGTTATAGTATGGCAATTTAATTACGCGCAAAGGATTCGCATCATAATGGCAACATCGAATGAGGGATGGATGGAAACGAATTGAGAACCAACCTCTTGCACGGCCCGTTGCGTGGCCTCCCGAGTGGTGAAGGTAACGAAAGCGTAGCCGCGATTGGTGCCCGTCATGGGATCCATCATGAGGCGGAGATCCCAGATGGTCCCGCATCTTTCAAACAACGGGATCAACTCGTCCTCATACATATCCTTGGGGATCTTGCCGCAAAACACCTCGCAGCCGGCGCCTGGTGTGCCACCTTCCCACCCGGGCGGGGGCCCGCCATACTTACGTTGACCTGAAATACGTTTAGGTAAACTCGTAAATAATTTTTTTCACTTGTAAGTTTAACTAAACCTCCCTCTCTCCTGTTTATACACATTTAAATATCAGATTTAATAAATGTTTTTAATAAGTGTACGCCCTAATCACCTAAAGGCAAATTCGGAAAAATTTGAAAATTCACAACTTTGAGGTCTTAGACTTTACGTGCGATCGTATAGAAAACATCGTCCATGAGACAGGTCACGTTCTAGATAGATTTAAAACCACTAATCAGCACAACCAGACATCAGACCAGACCACCAAAGAAAGATAGAAGCGTTACTTACATTCCAAGTGATGATGAAACCATAATCAACTTTTTGGCATGCACCTCTTACGCACGCATCTTTCTTATTTCCTTCTTTTAAGAGCATGTAAAATTTCACCGCTGATCGCTAATTTTATCTTTGGTTTGAATTTATTTTATTAGTCAGATAAAGTATAGTCCGTAAGGATAAAAAATGGGATTAAAAATGGCGATCATCGAGCGCGTACCGTCAACATTCAAAGTACCAATAGCGATAACCCGCTAATAACAGTATATCGTTACAACGTTATATTATTCGGTAAATTATAAATTTTCTATTATAGGGCAAATATTTGAAATAAATTGCATATTTAAAAAAAATAGGTACATTAATTTTAAAATAACATTTATAACTAGCTCTATTAATGTGGCGTTATTTAGACTTAGGATAATCATTTGAAAACACGTATTTTGTTTTATCAATATTTCTCTAAATTATTCGGATAAAATTTAGTGTAGGTCACTCCTGGTGTTACTCTCTATTTGTTCGTGAAGTTTTATTACAATCGATTCAGTCATTCCGAAGGACAAACAGGCAAACGATAATTTTAAAAATGGTTACTCATGTCTCAATATCATGTAAATATTTTATACAAAACATTAACAAACAAAATCAACAATAATTATGAAGAAAACAGAACGCGTCGTATAGGTCACAAATAAGCGAAAGTGGACTGAATTTTTTTTATAGTTTATGGCATTTTGTTATTATTCATTCCAAAGACAAGCCAGACTTTATATATACGTACGAAAAACGCATTTCGCAACGTATTTTTTTGCAGTCTTTACCGGCGGGTGAGAATACAGCAACGGTGTGCGAGCGAGAGGTTAATAGAGGCGACGCCATTTTGAATCCCATTTTTTAATCGCACGGGTAGTATATTCTATTGGTTATCTTCATTCTATTCATTTTTGTCCTTAAGGGTAGCAATGCATATTATGGCCATTATTGTTTTAATATCATCAGGTGAACAACAGTCCATTTATTTACGTGTGATAATTATTATTAGACACGATCGTCATAACAGATATTAATTACGAGCTAACAAGCTCGTTTGTCGTAACATTATAATTCTTTTGTAATTAAAATAGTATATTCGTATTGTAACTATCTTCTAATGGCAGATGTTCACGCTCGTCTCGTCACCTCGTATGCCTCTCTCGTCGCATAGAGACTCGACACGAGAACACACCAAGTACACACTCGTTGTACGGTTGTATCATTTGAACTCTGCATGCCCGCTGAGACGGATCTAGATGAAAATATCGCTGCGTTTTGCCTTTGTGCTATTAGTTATTATATTTTTTTACACATTTACCATAAAAAGAAAATTAATAAGCCATGGCGAAGAAGAAGATAGTGGATGGTTTCTATTTACCATAACAGAACCATGTACGGTGAATAGAATAGAGTACGATCTCGTTTTCATAGCGAGACTCACGAGAACCTTTGACTCGAGCGCAAAAAACCGACAGGCTCCCGTGAGCGAACGAGGGCCGCGAGGGCGGACACTCGTAATTGGCCTGTCTTGTGGTGTCTCGATGAGCGTGTACAGCCGCCATTAGATATTTGTCTTTTAAAGGCTTGTGTAACAACCATTACCTTAACGTCTTCTTTATGAAAACAAAAAATTACAGAGAATTTCACACAAAATTCGTAACGAAATTCTTATGTATTGAAATTATTCTTATTAGAATCTTACTTGAATACGGTAAAGAGAAGTATAGCAAAATTTAAAAAGTAATTCGTATTGAAATAGTATTCGCGCAAAATGACAAAAAAAAATTAATACCGAAGTCGTGGTAGCGTCTAATTTTTCTATGCTTTACTCACGCAGAGAAAGATTGGAAATATTGCTTGCACACTGTCACTGTTACCGGCATGTGGTAATGACCACAAAAAATAGCGTCATTCAGGTCTGAATAAGAAAGCATAACTGTTAAATAAATGTACTAATTTTAATTATTTCATTGTTTTATTGAGTATTCTCAAATTAAAAAAAAGACTTAAATTTATATAATTTAATTTTTTCCCAATAACTAAACAATACCAAACGCACTAAGTTAGATAAGTGCTATTTTAATTATCATAATTATTTGTAATTTGATAATATGTTATTAGTGCTGGTTTCACTTTAGTTACCACGTATGCTGACAGTACAGGCGCGATGAGACGCCATTTCTAATCCCGTTCTTTATCTATTTTACAAAATTAAATTTTTAGATTACAAAATTTTCTGCTGGCAGAACTACAGGTTTCACATCTACATTACGAGTGAGTAACTATGATGGAATTCATGATTGATTCATTGTTGGTTGTATTGTAAAAAAACAACGCGGTTGCTGAGTCATTTCCACCAGCAACGGTTTACACCAGAGTTATGCAATCACATTCGTTTCTGGAGTCTGATGAACTGAAACTGATGAAACTGACCTGGCGTCGTAGGCAAAAAAATGCTATCATTTTAGGGACCATGCAGTGTGAACATGATTATATGGTATACCGACCTGTGGTCACATCTAATGAGTAGCCAGTCCTGGCCAGGATTTGTTTAATTTTCTCTTCATCGGGGCCCTTGACCTGGACAGCGGCAGACAGCGCGGGCGCGCCTTGCACGCCCGCCCTGCTTTTCTGTCTGCAAGACAAATAGACATCTTTCTTCAGATCATGTACATATTTTACTATTTTCAATACCCTTGACGTGCAAAATAAAAACCATTATCTTTTTATATAAACCACTATAGATTCCCTTGTATTCTCTTCTTCTTCATCAGCACCTGAAAGTACAGTGCGATATTCGTCGAACTACCTTGTTGCCTTAATTGTCACGCCGATTACACCTCGTTGGTCTAGCTAGTACTAGGTAGTGCTAGTACTACATATCATGTAATCCCAGCTTCTATATAAACTTGGTCTGGAGGATATTAATTGTCACTCTTTGTGAGCAGATTGACGATCGCAGTAACGCTTTAACGCTGCACTTCGTTATATTTCAATTAGAAATTTAGGTGGTAACAATATAGATCAAACAAATTCCTAATAACGTCATGCGGTGGTGGCGCTCGTCACTTAGGCGAAAGTTTTTTTTATAGAGAATAAGGGTGACAAACGAGTACACAGTCCACCTGATAGTGAGTTGATGCTGTGGCCCATATTTTCGATTAAAAATCAAAACGCAGGTGGCGTTGTCACCCCTGAGGACTAAGACAGAATGCCTCGTAACCAGTAAAAAAAGGTCTCCGGATCTCTACACTCACCATACGAAACACAGCAGTATTAAGCTGCTATTTTACGCTGGTATTCTGTGAGAGCGTAGTCCTTCTACGTCGAGCCGACCCATTCGTGCTACAACTATAATATAGCCGCAGCATAGCTCTACCACGTATAAAATGCGTATGGCGTTATAATGTCCTCCAGACCGAATTTCGGCCCCGGCGACCTGCCTCAACTGAGGCTAGCCATCGGCTCAGGACAGGATTATAACGCCCAAGTGTATGCGCAAGCACAGGTGAACGCTCTATTCCCTCACTCTCATAATCCGATGGGATGGTAAACCGACACGACCGGAGAGAGATTAGGCGCAGGACCAACGGCTTTACGTGCTTCCCGAGGCACGGGGGTGAGACACCGCCAACTTTCTGACTCCGGGTAACTACTGAGAATTTCTTGACGGAAAAACTCAATAATTAATTTTTTGTCCCGACCCAGTATTCGAACCCAGGACCCCATGATCAGCAGTCGCACTACTACAACCACTAGACCAACGACGTGTATGGCGTTACGACTAGGTACAATCTCGTTTATCATCATCATCATCATTATTACCACAAAACCTCCGCTGAACATAGGCCTCCCCCAATGAATAAAACAAGCACAGTCCTAAACCATGAGCATCCATTTATTTCCACCACTACTTATCTCTTACCTGGTCATCATTTCATCTAATAGGGTGCCATCCTACACTTCACTTACTGGTACAAGGTTGCTACATGTTCTAGTTTATACCAAATATTAAATAGCGCAATGGCAACTACTGGTTTGATTTAAATCATACAAACCTTTGTAAACAAAGCATTTTAACTCTTATCAAAACTCAATAATTTGGCAAAACAAAATATAGTAGTCATCATCGTCATGCACACTAAACTAAGTCTACTCTCCAGTATGAGCATAATCACAAAGATTATTACGTGGTGGAGCCACACTGCAGCGTATCTTTGCTGGAACACGAATTGGACAGCTCAACCGCAAATACCTGCCTGTTGGTATTTTCTGGTAAGTGACGGACTATATCCATATATGAACAGATAGACCATGTGCTCATTTGTATCTCTCATTTCTATATAAAAGGTTGAGAAGGAGACCGTAATGCAAATCTCTTGCATCTTTGATAATGCTGCCACCAGTCCCTACCTGACTAAAGCAAGCGAAACATTCATATTACATGGATTACAACAGTGAATACATGATTAGTCACTTCAAATTCAAGTTTGATTGAATGACTTTGTAATCATGCACTATTCAATCATATAATAAATTCTTTGATCTAGCCACCATAAGGCAAATAAAAGATCATCAAGTTCTTACACTAATGTCTCAGAGTTTTTGTTAGCAAAAGTTACAGATTGCTGGCGACATGAAAGAATCATCAGTCAATTTTGTCCCGTGAGTACCGTAAGACATGGTTGCCTTTGGAATATGCCTGAAAGATCTTATAGCTTTCGATAGATAACAGTATAATCATTCTATTTGCTCAGACTGGCGAAGGAGAGCATGGTCAAAGGTAGAAAACTTCTGGCACTGATATCACCAATGCTTGCCAAGTGTGGCGATAATGGCAAATCCTCCCCTAACAGGGAAAACCCAAAAAGTGAATGATATAAGATAGATATGATATTAAAAATTGCATGCTGTTTAATGTAAGATTTAAAATGTGCAAATTACATATTTTATTCTTAACTAAAATCCAAAATATTTGTTTTTAATGACTGTAGTAGCCAAAAGTAGAATATATTATAGATACTTTAAAAATTTCATGAATACAAATTTAAGATACATTCATTCTTCAACATTTTTGCTTGTAAAATTTTAATTGTAATGTAGATTTGATAAAGTTTTGTAGTATGATACCGTCGAAATACTGTATATTAGGTTACCAGGTAGCAAAAATTAAAAAATTACAACACTCACCTATAGGTTTTCATGACTCCACATAAATAAGCACTTTTATTAGATACATGCTCAAGATTTGAATCTAAAAATTGTCCAAGAACACTTAAAGCACCGTCGGATGGAAATTCTTTTAAGGCATCTAACGCACGCTCGTCCAACTCAGCATGCGCTAGCTTTCCAGTCTTATAAATATCATCAAGCTTGGCTGCCACCTGTAATTTACAAAAATTTTAAAATGCTTAATGCACATGCACATATATTACAATTTTAAGGTGATAATACTTTTAAATAAAAGAAAAACTAAAATGAATTCACCACTGAGTTAAAATATGGCAACATTATAGGATTTTGAACATTTTTTTGAATGGTAACATTTTTTGTGAAACATTACAATTAAAAATCCTCTTTAAATAAGTATTAATATCTCTACAATCAAAATTACTATTAAGTTAATGGTAGTGAATTATAACAGCTTGTAAGCTAAATCAATAATTTTAATATGTTACAAATTACAATTACTATTTATATTCATTTTTTTTTTCATTCATTACAGCCCTTCACAAATCCATTGCTGAATATAGGCCTCTCCATTGTTACCTATTACTTTAATAATAGATGACAATAAAATCTAAAAGTTATATAAAAAATAAGTAAACTCAATGCACAATTTCTATAAAAATCAAGTAGAGCCTTATTAGATATGATTAACTTATAAAAATTTTAGGTTAATAGAAATTTAGAGATGATATTATAATGAATTATACAAAAAAAAACTGTTTATGACAACAGTGATATTTTTAGAGACAAGCTTTGATGAAGTATAAACTCAATAAAGGTGCATAGATAATAAAGGTGAGAGGTGAATTTATAATCACAGCACTGAAAATGCAACAAAATAGCATTTATATAAAATAAAAACACTATATTACAGGTGTTTTTTTTTTCTAGAATTCTATTTCAGAAATGTTTTTTTTAATAAATAAGTATGCTGATGGCAGCACAAATGTTCCTAGAAGTTAGGCAATGCTTTTTGATATTATTGAATTCTAAAAATTAGAGAATTTTAAGTGTATGTACTTAAAATGCAGAAAATTATTATACTTATTATTAAAAAGACATATTTTTATTATTCAATTGAAAAGGATATAACAATACTGATTTAATCAAATTGAAAATTTTATTCAAACATGATTCTTATCAGAATTACACCAACCAGAAAATATAAATGAACTCTTTTCAGATTCTTACAAGACAGTTAAACTTTTATAAAACATTGATAATTCTAAGGTTAACAGCAATTGGCCCCTATTATGGCCTGAATAATGTGGCAGTGTTTCAAGACTCCTCAATTATAATATATTATTTAAAAAACATTCTCAACATTCATTAATTATGTACCACAGCAATATTAAGTATAGGAATAATGCACCTAAAAAAAATTTCTAGAATGGATTGTTATTTTAATAAATATTTTTAAATTCCCTAAAGACAAACAAATTTGTAAAATATAATATGTAAATATAATATTAGTTATGTATGTTTTTCTTTACCTTAGGATCCAAGCCATATTCAATGAGTTTGTGGTAGTCTGGTGTACGGCCAGCATCAGAGTCCTTTCCAGGGACCTCTTCAACAGGGATCTCTCCATTGCCCTCCGCCATTCTGGACAATTATGAAAGATTGCTACACTCACTGCACTAATTTGAACCCTCTAACATCACATTTTTGAAGTTCTAAACAAAGTTTTGTACTTTAGCTACTGTTATCTGAATTCAGCCTCGAATGGCTCATCCATAGATGATGTCATACATATCAATATTGAATGCCACACGTGAGAGCGGTGCCAATTGCTTTTTATGTAGTGAAATGTGCAAAATTTTTATGCATTACTTAAATATGGAAATAAAATAATAATTACCTTATTTTGCAATTTTTGTAATTTTGTAAGAAAATGACAACTCTCTAATTGTCCGAAAAGCAAAAAAACAAATGATGATCAAACATATGAAACTATGAAACAATAGGACTGTGCACTCCTCATTCCATCCGGGTGAAGGTATAATTTCAAAAAGCGAATGCGCGGGTTATTGCATTCTTTTAGTGAAGTGAAATAATTTTTTGACCCTAAAAACGAAAATCTGAATTTAATATTTTAATTTATGATAGCAATAACAAAATAAGGATGCGAATCCGGCGGGCAATGACCGAAATAACACAGAGTACACAATGAAGTTTCATACAAACTATAACACATTCCACTTTTAAAAAATAATTCACTTTAACACACTCTGACAATCCATTTGTATCTAAAAACAAACACTAGGAACTTTCCGCGCATAAAACTTTGCCGAATGCGAAACTGCAATAAGTTGAGAGTGCAACTGCATTGCACCCGATAAGAACCGGCCGGCGCGCACCTTTTATTCCAAAAAGAATCCAATTGGAATCAACACAGATTTATTCTATAGATTGGGAACATTGTAGCACATGATCACAATACAATGAAATTATTTTAAACACTGAACACGAGAATAATTACCTATTAATTTTGCTACTTGGTGGCCGAGACAGATATGGCGGCACCGCGCGACGTCAACGTGACCGCCAGTACGGGGTTCTCATAACGACGCGCGCGAACTCAATGCAACGAGGAGTGCATTCAAACTTTCAAAGGCACTTTATTTGTTTGTAAAGTCGAAGAATTCTCTGTGTGTAAAGACTTAATGCGACTGCAGCAAATGATAAGATATTTTATTGCACAGAGAGTTTTTGCAATGGTTGCGAATAATTTTGAATGTGAAAGAGCGCGGCGCGTCGCGCAAGGCTGCCGGCCGCGAGGTGAGACAGGCTAGCGGCAAGACGGTGACGAGCGAGAAGCCGAGAGCGAAGAGGGGAGGGTGTTGCAACCGGCGGTGCAGGCGTGCAGCAGCAACGACGCCGCACCGAGCTCGGTTGCATACTTGCATACGCACTCACACTTGCAAACCTTCTGACCTTCGTTACTTGTAATCGATTCACTGTCAGTTTAACCATTGTTACAAAAATTAAAATCTTATTAATTTGAAGTCCATTTATTATGATAAGCATTATAAAAGAGTTACGACATCGCAATCTATCTATCAATAAAAATATAGTAAATGACCTATTGTTTTCCTTTATTCATGTTACACGTATCTAATAAATCTGACTTCTGAGAATTTGTACAATTAATGATTTGGCAAAATTGTAAAGGTAGATGCAAAAATAACAACGCAATATGATATAATATAATGCAAGTAAATATTATTAAGAAATTTGATCACAATCTTTTTGTTGTATATATATTTTAAAATAACTAAAAAGATGCGAATATAATCATCACACGGTTAATAGGTCTCAAATCCCAACCCACAATGTCCATAGAAGAGAACAAGGTTCATTACTCTTTGATATGGAAACGAAGGGATAAAAGAGTTAATCGCAATAACCCCTTACTTTAGTTCGCTTCACCTGCTGATTATTGAAGCCGTATGTATTCGCGGCACATACACAAAACTGGCCTTCGTACTTCTCATGTGTGTAAGAAACGCGGGCCTGTATCCGCCGTATGATGCATGTGGGTAGATAGGTAGAGCGGCTACTGCGGGTTTGTGTGGACAAGGTTCCAATGCGACCTTTTCACTGGGAATTTGAATCTTACAAGTGCTAGAATCGCGTTGAAAATCGCTTTATACTCAACGATGAATCTTACTGCACAAAGAAGGCGAGTATATTATATGTAGTAGAACGGCAGACACATTTCCTTTCTCACATTTTCTTGATATCAATAGCATTAAGTAGGTACGATAAACAGTAAAACCGATATTACTATTTACATACTATAATTCCGATGATAAAAAATAAAGCATGACTTGACTTTTAAGTTCTCGTTTTTATTAGTTAGATGGTTAATAAAATTCACTAAAAAATATAATCTAATTCAGTAAACAGGCATTGTCATGTGCTTACTGGCCCGTTGTGCTGTCGTTTACACTGCAGACATTTTCGTTATGGATCCTATATTCAGAGAAACTCTCTTTCACCGACTCGAGCTCGTTCGAAATCTTAAATTTCCGGTGATGGCAGTGCATTCAAATTAAATAATATTTTCCTTTCTTTCATATAAAGTCACACACACACATCAAAAGTTGTAGGTATCAAGAGTAAAAGTCAAAATTTATATTTGGAATAAACTTAAAAATATAAATCGATAAGAAAGGGACCTATACGTACCTACATCACTACTTCTAAAATATGACAAATTATGTATAAATGACAATATTATTTTTGTATTAGTTTTATACTTTTTAATAAATGGCTTTTACAAAGTAGTTTTAATTGAAGTAATCCTATTTTTATGTTTATAAGTAACATAGAATTTCCGACAGTAAAACACCACTCACTATATTTGAAACCCAAAGAAATATGCGCTCACCCAGGCACTATGAGACCTTAGAAATAGCAAGAATCATCCGTCACGGAGTTACTTCTATAAATATCCATTTTTGCAAACATACGTATTACAGCAAGCTCGTTCTGCTCACCGCACGCCGTACTACATTCGCGATAAGGCACTTAGTGCGTATTTTAAATACGTCAACAGTTCATTGACCCGCACCGTTTCGCACCGTACGTTACCGAAATGCCGAATTTATTGTGTCTGTAGATTTGTGGGTCGGTGGTCGCTACTCACAACTCTATGTTATGATCCAGATTGGGGGTCCAGATGATGATGACGTCACTTTATCAAATGAAACTAGCCGGTGATTCTAGTTCCACTTATAATTCATGAAACGCGTATTATGCATATTTAAATACTGCCCTAATCTAACCTGCTTGTTGAATCGTAAGCTGTGACCTCAGTGTGTCGAGGTCGTTTCTATTTGCTTTTTTGACAATTCAAGGGCAATTCTATTTGTAATTTTTTTCACGCGCGTGTGAGCTTAAAAGTTAACTGATATATTTTAATTAATATGATCTTTACATAGGTATTTTGATAGTTATTGTTAAAAACGAAGTCACATAAAATATTTTAGAAGTCCATCAAAATATAGGTATGTAGGTATTTATATTATATATTATATAATACCTATAGTTTAAAGTATCAATCTTTATAATAGATATGATACAAAGTAGTTATCTCTCTAAAGCTATGTATTTAATGACGTACACCTAACATGGGATTTAAAGCGACTATTTAATCGTGGAACCATCTCAAAGCCATTGTCGACGAGGTTCTCGACCTTTGCGAAGAGCGCGGCGTCGCATACTTACTCAATAGAATACAATTTGTTTTTTGTTCGTGTCTGGTCGCGATATCTGTGGGCTGTGGTTTATATAGGTAGGTACTAATTTAAGATTCGTATACATACTTTTAATTACACAAAAAATAAATAAAAAGAAGCGGTGCTAGCTCGGGAGCCAGGCGTTCGCCTTAAAGTACATAGTATTAGAATGTCAGTAAACATTGGAAAACCTGCTACTTTAGAAGTTAACTATATTTCGAGGACATGTGTAGTCCACCAACACCAACGAAAAAGATGGCCAACACCAATACGCACTAGGATAGAGAGCGCGGCGAACACTTTCCTGCTCTTATGACCCCTTTTAAATTATAGAAGGCAAGTGCCCAGTCGTGAGACAAACACGGACTCTGCTGTAACATATGTTATTATTATATTATATTTTTTATATAATCAATAAGATCAGTTGTTACCTTGCGGATATACGTTATATTAACTTCTACGTGCTAGAGCAGGGGTGCCGAATCTTTATGTATCAACGTGCCATTTTTCTAAAAAAAATGTTTAATTAGGTAATAGACGTGCCGCAAAATAATTTTGACTTCGTGATTATGGGGAAAATAACAGTACTAAATACTATCGAATGAAAACTTTTTTTTTACTACAAAAAATAAAGAGTGTTGAGTTAAGACATTTACTATTATCCATTGCAAAATACATTTTGCAATATCTAATAATAAAAATTTCAGTAATTGAAATTAAAGTAAAATTAGTGTGACTTCTGTTGTGTGATAAATAACTTATATTAGTAAAATCGTAAATATAACACAAATGAATTTTTAAATACAGTTGTGTTAACGAAATTGACTATTAATGTGCCCAGCAGTGGGACGTATATAGGCTGTAGCCTATATACGTCCTACTGCTGGGCGCAGGCCTCCCCTCATTTCTAGAGGATTTTAGGGCAAGGAAGTGTCCGCCGTGCTGCCCCAATGCGTGTTGGCGAACTTTACGTGTCTTTGAAATATATATTTTTTTCTTATTTCTCAGACATGCAGGTTTTCTCACGATGTTTTCCTTCACCGCCGAACAAGTGGTAAATCAGCACTTAAAATTGCAATTAAAAATTTCATTGGTGCCGTCGGGGATCGAACCCGGTATTTTCGCATACTGTGGTATTTACCTACAGCAAGCGCTAACCATCTGAGCTACCACGGGTATTGACTATTATGCTATGCGTACACGAACTATGCATTCATTGGGGAAGGGGTGGACTTGTGAAGGGCTGTAATGATGACGATGATGAATGGAACTATGCGTCATTAGCAAAGGTAGTCCACGATGTAACTAGGATCACTCGCGTTCGTTCGTAATATAATATTTCATAATGAACTTTGTGATCGGTGGCGTGCCCAAAATATTATGTCGCGTGCCGTCGATGGCACGCGTGCCAATGGTTCGCCATCCCTGTGCTAGAGCAATGTTGCAGCCACATTATGGTTGTAGCATGAATGGGTCGGCTCGACCGGGGAACTACGCTCTCACAGAATACCAGCGTAATATAGCAGAGTAGTGCTGTTGCGTTTCGTATGGTGATTGTAAAGAACCTTTTTTACTGGAAACAAGGCATTCCATTTTAGTCCTCGGGGGGTGACGACGCATCTGCATTTTTATTCTTAATTGAGGATAAATGTCGATGGGCCACAGCAACCACTATTAGGTAGACTGTGTGCTCGTTTGCCACTCTTTTTTTTTAAGAATTTAAGGTATGTCCTAAATCCAATAGCAAAGATCCGCGTAAAATTCTTCTATAAAATATATAAATAAATCATATAAATTTATTTATACAGCAACTACAATCTTTCCAAAAAACTGTGCGGTTTCGATTTTTCCATAGCTAAAAAATAAAACTATAAGTAATAAAGTATTTTATTGCAAATAAAATATTACTGGCATTATAATAAAGCATCTGGATTCTAGATGTATTAAAAAGTATACTTACAGTAATTAAATTACGCATGAAGGTAGTGATTATATAGTCATTGTTATACAATTTTTAAAAGTAAATTTTACTGTGAAGATGTGTATCACCTTATATATCCGACTGAGAATGAAAGAAAAATAATTTTAATGGTGCGATTCGGGTGACTTGATCGACCTGAATGGCAGTGTAAGAATTTAAATAATTATTAGAATAGAATTGGATAATTCACTACCCCATATCGTCCCGTAGGTGTTGGAAGGTCGCCATAGGGAAACCAGGAGATGGGTAACAGCGCCTTCTTAATAACAAATAAAATATAGATGGGGGTTTATGTTGGACGATAGACTTTGGTATGATATAATGGATGAATGAATAGTATCAATTGTTTATTTATTGTTACCATTGGTTAAAAATTTGTAGAGCTATGACATTTGATTGAACCTACTTTTAATTTTATTATTATTAGTCCCTGTGTAAAAGGACGATTAAAAGATAACAGCAGACAAAATGATAGCGATGCTAGAAAAAGACTGCAGACTCTATATTTAACGTAAAAGCGTTAAACTGCTATTTTATTCGTGAGATAGTCTTTCCCCTGTCAAACCGACCCATTCCTACTACAATCAAAATATGGCTGCAGCATGGCCCTGCTGCCACAGAATAAATAATAATACTATACGTTACTACGTAAAAAAACAATTACTTCACTAAGGATGGAAAATTAGGGAATGAAGATTTTAATGTAACAATTTAGACGACATTCTTCGAAGTTCAAGTTGTTAACTTGC